TCAAACCCGACAAGGCACTATATGAACTAAAGCAGGCCCCTTGTGTGAGGAGTTTGCAAAGCTTATGGGAAGCGAGTTTGAAATGAGCATGATGGGGGAATGGAATTTTTTCTTAGGGTTAAAAGTCAAGTAAACCCCTAAGAAAATGATGATAAGCCAACAGAAGTACATTAAAGAGCTCCTGAAGAGATTTAAGATGGAAAGTTCAAAAATCATTTATACTCCCATTGCCACTGCCACCTGTCTGGACATAGATAAACCTGGTTCCCCTATGAAGGAAACCATTTATAAAGGCATCATTGGTTCACTCTTGTATCTCACAACCAGTAGACCTGATATTGTATTCAGTGGGGGATTATGTGCTAGATTTCAATCCAGTCCAAAGGAATCTCATCTTAAAGATGCCAAGAGGATTCTAAGGTATCTTAAAGGAACACAAGACTTAGTTCTCTACTATCCCTCAAGCGACAATTTTGATTTAACTGGGTATGCTGATGCTGATTATGCTGGTTATTTGGTGGATAGAAAGAGCACATCCGGCATGACACATTTTCTGGGATCGTGTTTGATTTCATGGGATACAAAGAAATAAAACTCTATGGCTCTTTCAACTGCAGAAGCTAAGTATAAGGCAGCTGCCTCTTGCTGTGCTCAACTATTATTGATCAAGTAGCAACTGGAGGACTTTGGTGTATTTTCTGATTGTATGCCATTACTGTGTGATAATACCAATGCTCTCAACATGACAAAGAATCCGATCCAGCATAAGAGAACAAAGCACATTGATGTGCGACATCATTTTCTCAGAGACAATGTTGAAAATGGTCTTATTTGGATGAAGTTCTGCAAAATAGAAAATCAAGTAGCAGATATCTTCACCAAAGCACTGAGTAGAGTACACTTTGAAAAGAATCGATTGGCATTGGGGTTGATAAAATTGAACTGAGCACCAAGTCCCTCAATGATTGGCTATGAAAGAATGAACATGTAAAAACAACTAAAAAGTGTTTTCTGACAAGTTCTAACTCATCTCTATACCATTACAGGTAGACATGCATGCTAACTACAGAGCAAACAAGTAGCTAATGACATTGAATCTTGGTAAAAAAGACGAGACTCACATTTATAAAACTAAGTCAGGGAACCTGGTTCCCTTGACACAGGTTAGTAGTTCCTTTGTATTTTCATGCATATTTCTAAGCGGCTATAAAAGTGCCACATCATTAAAAATTTCAATCTATCTCTCTCATCTCTTTAGAACTCAAATGTCATACCCGTTACTAAATGACCCATCTACCCGGTGATTCGTACCCATTTGCAACCGATCTCTCACTTCCCTTAAATAACCCCAAACGTTGTCTTTTTCCTCACTATCCACATCAAAATAAAAAATTTCCTTTTCTCTCTCAAAGCAAATGCTTTTCTTCTCGTGTCCTCACTACAAATCTCCACTATGTCTCAAAATCCAGAAGTTTCAAACATTTCTAGTATAGTCACCACTATGTCTTCATCTCATGAAGCACAGGAACGAGAGTCGGAGTCCCCTCTGTCACCCAGTCCAAACCCCATACCAGACTAACAACCACATCTTACTTCCTCTCCAACCCAATCGAGTTCTAGTTCTCACCGCAGTCGTAAGACTCAGAACCCCAAATGATTCGTTGCTGCGACCTCTCCTTCTGCCTCGCCAAAAAAAAAAAATGGCAGAAGGAGAAACAGTAGATGGGGACGAAGGTCAGGAAGTTTCTAGTCAGAAAGTTGGGGAGAGTCTTGAAGCCCAACAAGATGTGGTTCGCAGTAATGGAGGCTCAGCAAAGCCCGTTAGAAGCTTTGATCTGAATATTGCCAATACTATAGGTAATGTTCCTCTTGTATCCTCTAACTCTGCTTTGGGGGTGAATGAATAAGAAGTCGTTGAGAACATGTTACTAATCGCTGTAGAGGGAGGTTTGGTTGGTGGTTACGAGGGTGTTAATGAGACCATTGGGTCTCAGGGGAAAAGTGAAGGTCATCAGGACGAGGGTAAGGAACTGGCGCCCCTTGAAAATTTGGCACATGTCAGTACTACTGGGGAAACAAATGAGGGACATGATTCCTCAGCTCAAGAGGAGCCCTCTGTTCCTACTTGGGATGAAACCCCCTGCTCCTCAAAAGAGCCCCAGGTCAGTACTGATGGTAATCATGGGTTTCCCACGGGTTCTTGCTCACTAAGGTGTTTAACTTCTTCAAAGTCCCTTTGGGAAAAGCAACAATGGGAACTCGCAAGCAGACCTTCTCAAAGACCACCTTGGAGGAATGTGAGTGGATTGATAAGAAAGGAGGGGTTGGCAGCAATTCCATTATCTCTCAATTGATAGATGCTCAGAATGCTGCAAATGAGGAGATAAAGAGATGGAAGGCACAGAATGCCATTCTTGAAGGGCAACTTAGTCAGGCCCAGTAGGCATCTGGTTCCAGCAGTGCACAAGGCACAGAGGTTGCCCGCCTGACCAAGAAAAATGCTGATCTCAAGAAACAGGTCGAGGACCTGAAGGAGCGGTTGCTTAACGAGAAAGTGTCTGCAAATGCTCGTATGGACATTCTCCTCAGAATTCTTGCCTCTTCATCCCTGCCTCCCCCTTCTAGTGCTCCTTAAAACAGTTCCCTTCCCAGTGTTTAGTGAAATGTTGTCTGTCCTACCTTGGTCCCTTTTTGTTTTATTGTTTTTGTGGCTGGTACTTTTAAGTTGTTTTGATTTGTCAATGGTTGGGTAACAATGGTATTACTATTTCTGTTCTCTTTTCTTTAAAATTAATGAGTATTCCGTCCTTTTACTATGCATGCTATTCTTATGCTCTATTTTTAGCCATATTTGTGTGCACACATGTGGCATGAGTTAACCATGCTGGACTTCTTTTTGCTTATTACTCGTGAATAATTTTTTTATGATGCCAAATAGGGAAAAATTAATTGAGAGGGGGAACTTGTTCAATGGGAACAGGAAATATTATATGGTAATCTGGTCATCTGGTCCTCAGGGGAAACTTCAATTATAAGTTTGTCATCATCAAAAGAGAAAAATTGATAAGTATGTGCCTTTTTATATTTTGATGAACTAACAAACTTTATGATAAGAACCAGATCGGGAACCTGTTACACATCCTCAAGGTGTCAAAGCACAAAAAATCTCAGGGCACAAGTTCCAACAACTAGAGTCAAAGAGATGACAGAGGGAACAAATGGACATCAGTTCCCTTCCTGACTGTACCAGTCAACTCCTCACAGCTGTAAAGTCGCTGCACTTGTTCCTCTGCACACACGCAACAGTGCAACTGTCCCTTTATTGGGAATGTCTTGTACCCGATATTTGCTTGCATCATCCAAGTGACATCACTTGGATATTATTAACATGAAGCAAAGTAAAAACAAACACTTTCACATCCGAAAAACAGATCAAGTTTTCTCTCAAGTGTGTTGCCATCTTGCAAGTGACTTCCAGGCTTCAAGAACAAAGAACAACAGAACGAAGGACCAGTTTCCAGCTCTCTGTTATCATATGCCCTTAGTTGTGTTATACTTTTGTTAGAGTGATCCACTTGAAATTCCTATTTAGCTTAGCTAGAAGCATTGTGTAGGAAACTATTTGTAAAACCATAAACTTTTTGTTTGTGTCTTAGTTAGAGTTAGTCGAGCTGTGAGCTTTATAATAGAGTTATTACAAAGAGGCTTGTAATAGAATTATTACAAGTGGGTGAGGGATTAAGAGTTTAATTCCTAGGTTACAATAGGTTGTAATCTAAAGTTGCTCGGTAAGTGAAGTTGAAATCCTACGAGTGTAGGCCGTGGTTTTTAATTCCGTGAGCTAGGAGTTTTTCACGTAAAACTCTGTTGTGTCATTTACTTATCTCTTATTGTATTTGTTCTATGGGAACTGATAGAGAATCAGGTTCTTTATATAGTTTGGTGGATCCTAAGTTTCATCATTTCTTTTGATAGAAAGTACTTTATTACTTGCTTATATTACTATTAAACTTTTCGAAAATAAGAAATAATTTCTAAATAAAAAGAAACTGAAAGATGCAATATAGCCCTGTTGATACTATAAACAATGGACTAAGAATGCAAGGACAATATTTGAATGAGAAAATTAATATTATAAGCTATATTACTGAATAAATAAAGGACAAACTTACACAGATGCACTATAACTCAATAGAAGGTATAAAGAAAATTCCAGTTCCTTCCGACTAAGAGCAGATAGTCCTAATTTGTTTAAAGAAACATGTTACTTGGATGTAGTTTCGGTGGACAAAGAAAAAGGACTCTTCAACCCAATAGACTTCCATTCTTGCCTTCTATTCCTTCCGACTACGTGAATCTATCTGAGAGGTTAAAAGTATAAAAGTTCTCAAATACAAAGTTTTAATTGAATTTAGAGTCCAAAATATTAGGAAAGGTTCTAAATATGACAACTCTATCCAACGGGTAATTATTTTTTGGAATAATAATTTAGCTTTCAAAGAATATAAATATCTGTCAATAGTTCCGGTATATTTTCATAGTTTAATATTTAGCGTTTTAACTTTATGTTTTTATAATAAATATAGAAGTATATATTATATATAGATGATATATATCAAGGTACACGTAGGTCGCTAACTGCTTTACCTAAACCCAGTTCAAAGAATTGCTTTCAGTTTCTCAAGGCTTTTCTTTTCCTTTCTAGCAATACATAATTGTTAGCGAAAAACTTGGTAGTGTCGAACCAATCCAAACCGATATAGTTGATTTCGTTTGATTTTAATGAAAACCGAACCAACTTGGTGCATGTATACCCTTAAGTGCAAGTATATGACTTTTCTTCTTGGGCCAACAACAACAATAACAACCTAGTATAATCCTACTAGTAGGGTCTGGGGAAGGTAATGTGTACGCAGACCTTACCCCTACCATGACGTAGATAGGCTGTTTCCAATAGACCCTCGGCATCCTTCCCTCCAAAAACTCCCCGCCTTGCTCTTGGGGTGACTCGAACTCACAACCTCTTGGTTGGAAGTGAAGGTTGCTTACCATCAGAGCAACCCCTCTTGTAAAAAATTTGCAATTAGTATTCCACATTACATGGCCCGCGAAATGATACAACCATTGACAGGCATGTCCATAGCGCTCGTCAAAGAAATGTCTTTTGAATAATTCTGGAGAAAATCTCCTACTATTTCCACAACTTTAAGCTTTGCCACAATTGAAACGCCAAACACCCTTTTAATTTGGTATATACTTCCAAAGATATATAGTGAAACATTGACCCATTGACTTCAAGTCTTTCTAATTCTACCCGTATTTTACAAGCTGAGAAATTAATGCCATTGCCTCGCACGACTTGTAATGATTCACTACAATATAAATTAAAGCTCTACCTTGCACAAGTCCATCAATAACCAAAACAAACAACTGAATTTCATCCTTTAGCCATAATGATGGTTCCCAGAATATTTTCTTTACTTCAGTTTTTCACTCTCTTATATTTGTTGGCAGTTTCTTTTGCTTCTACTGAGGAAGCAACTGCTCTCCTAAAATGGAAAGCGACTCTCCAAAACCAGAATAATTCCTTATTGGCTTCATGGACACTAAGTGCCAAGAATTCTTCTAGCATTGGTGGGGTAAGTTCTGATGCATGCAGGGATTGGTATGGAGTTATATGTGTTAATGGTAGGGTAAACAGGTTGAATATTACAAATGCTAGTATTATTGGTACACTGTATGATTTTCCATTCTCATCTCTCCCTTCTGTTGAATATGTTGATCTTAGCATGAACCAACTCTCTGGCACCATCCCTCCTGAAATAGGTAAACTGACTAATCTAGTTTATCTTGAATTGTCGATCAACCAGATTTCAGGCACAATCCCACCACAAATCGGGTCACTAAGAAAGCTTAAGACCCTCCATATCTTTGACAACCAATTAAATGGTTCCATTCCTGCAGAAATAGGGAAGATGGAGTCGCTTGAGGATTTAGGCTTACAGAAAAACAATCTTTCTGGTCCGATTCCAAAAACTATTGGTGACTTAAGTGAGCTCAATATTCTGTACCTTTATTCTAACCAACTTTCTGGTCCTATTCCTACAGAGTTGGGGAATCTGAAAAACCTTACTGATCTATATTTATCTAAAAATCAGCTTACTGGTTCAATTCCAACTACTCTAGGTGACATAACCGAGCTCAAGACTCTGTACCTTTATTCTAACCAACTTTCTGGTCCCATTCCTACAAAGTTGGGGAATCTGAAAAAACTTATAGATCTAGAATTATCTCATAATCAACTTACTGGTCCGATTCCAAAAATTATTGGTGACTTAAGTGAGCTCAAAATTATGTACCTTTTTTCTAACAAACTTTCTGGTCTCATTCCTACAAAGTTGGGAATATGAAAAACCTTATAGATCTAGAATTATCTCATAATCAGCTTACTGGTCCGATTCCAAAAACTATTGGTAACTTAAGTGAGCTCAAAATTCTGTACCTTTTTTCTAACCAACTTTCTGGTCCCATTCCTACAGAGTTGGGAAATCTGAAAAACCTCACAGATCTAAAGTTATCTATGAATCACCTTACTGGTTCAATTCCAACTACTCTAGGTGACATAACTGAGCTCAAGACTCTGTACCTTCATTCTAACCAACTTTCTGGTCCCATTCCTACAGAGCTAGGGAATCTGAAAAACCTCATAAGTCTAGATTTATCTCATAATCAGCTTACTGGTTCAATTCATACTTCCTTTGGGAATTTAAGAAACTTGCAAAAACTGTTTCTCAGTTTCAACAAACTTTCTGGTTCCATTCCAAAAGAACTTGCATATTTGGATAACTTGGTTAGGCTTTCAATGAGTGAAAATCAGTTTTCAGGCCACTTGCCAGAGCATTTTTGCCAAGGTGGAAAACTTGTGAACTTCACTGTGGGTAGTAACAAGCTGACAGGTCTAATTCCAAGAAGCTTGAGCAAGTGCTCGAGTTTCAAAAGAGTTCGTTTTAATAACAACAATTTCACAGGAAATTTATCGGAAGCTTTTGGTATCTATCCCGAGCTTCAGTTCATTGATTTGAGCGACAACGATTTTTATGGTGAACTCAGCAACAACTGGGGAAAATGCAAGAATTTGACAAATTTGCAGATAGCCAGAAATAACATTAGTGGTAGCATACCACCAGAGATTGGAAACGTCAAAGGGATTCTAGGACTTGATCTTTCATCTAATCATTTGGTTGGGCAGATTCCAAAAGAATTTGGAAAATTAACCTCTCTAGTTAATCTTTTTATGCAAAACAATCACATTTCTGGCAATATTCCGAGTGAACTTGGGTCACTGACAAAGTTAGAGTCCCTTGATCTGTCAGACAATAGATTGAACGGGTCAATCCCAACATTTATAGGAGATTACATGAACATGTTTCTCTTGAACCTGAGCAACAACAAGTTTGGCCAAAAAATTCCAAAGGAGATAGGGAGGATAACTCACCTAAGTGTACTTGATTTGAGCCATAACCTTCTAGATGGAGAAATACCCTCTCAGTTAGCCAGTTTGCTGGACTTGGAAAAGTTGAATCTTTCTCACAATGGCCTCTCTGGCCGCATTCCTGAAGAATTTGAAAGTATGACTGGTTTGCGGGATGTTGTCTTTTCATACAATGAGTTGGANGGACTTGGAAAAGTTGAATCTTTCTCACAATGGCCTCTCTGGCCGCATTCCTGAAGAATTTGAAAGTATGACTGGTTTGCGGGATGTTGTCTTGTCATACAATGAGTTGGAAGGTCCAATACCAAATAATAAAGCTTTTATGAATGCTTCATTAGAAGGTAATAAAGGTTTTTGCGGCAATATAACAGGATTTCAGCCTTGCGAAAGGCCATCTTCGATGCTGAAGAAGCACTCAAGAAGTAAACTCATCCTCGCCACTGTACTTCCTGTTATGGGAGCACTTGTATTTATCTGTGCTTTTACTGGTGTTCTTATGTGTGATAAAAGAAGGAAAGTTAAAGATGTTGAAAGGCGGGATGATGGTTTGATTTCGATATCCTTGTTAGATGGAAAGACATTGTACACGGATATCTTAAATGCCACAGAGGAGTTTGATGCAACATTTTGCATCGGGCAAGGAGGGCAGGGAAGCGTTTACAAGGTAAACCTTCCATCATTAGGGAGTATAGCTGTGAAGAGATTTAATTCTTCATTTGCGAATACGCATTGCAAAAGCTTCACGAATGAGGTCAATGCATTGATTGGGATTAAGCATCGGAACATTGTGAAACTCTATGGCTTTTGCTCGGATGCACAACACTCGTTCTTGGTTTATGAATATGTGGAAAGGGGGAGTCTTTTTGGTATCTTGAGCAATGAAATTGAGTCCAAGAATTTGGATTGGCTTAAGAGGGTGAATATCCTCAAAGGTGTTGCTTTTGCTTTATCTTACCTGCACCAGGATTGTTCACCACCGATTGTTCATCGAGACATATCAAGCAGTAATATTTTGCTTGACTCTGAGTATGAAGCTCGTGTTTCCGATTTTGGAATAGCTAAGCTTCTCAAGCCAGACTCGTCCAATTGCACAACGCTCGCAGGCACATATGGCTATGTTGCACCTGGTAAGATCTATCTTTTTATCCTTTTTTTTGTAACTTAATTAACTATATATAGCCACGCACTCTATACTGTTTTTATCTCAGGAACTCATTTATATTGTTATGCTTTTTTGGAAATTGTATTGTTTCAGAGCTTGCATATACAATGAAGGTTACAGAAATGTGTGATGTCTATAGCTTTGGAGTATTAGCATTGGAGATAATCAAAGGAAATCATCTTGGGGAATACATTACTCTGCTAGCAAATTCATCGACTAGAGATCATGTGCAGCTTAGCGATTTGTTGGATGAACGCCTTCCATATCCTGATGATAGAGTAAAAGAGGTTTTGGTTTTTATCATCAATCTAGCAAGCTGTTGTTTGGTTGAAACTCCAAAATCGAGGCCAACAATGCACTTCATCTCTCATAAGTTATCATCAATGGATTCACGCCCACGTACTCATCATAGATAAAACCCCCATGTAAGGCGAGCTATATAATCCCTGATATGTAAGGTGTATTTTTATTGAAATGAATAAGCTTTAACACAAAGTGGTTGTGAAGTAAGTAATTTAATGAGACGGTCCACGAAAAGATTATTACTGGGACTAGTATTCTAGTATTGTTAGGATGCTTATCTGGTCTGTATTAGAGTGTATACAATATAATGTAGTATAAGGTTATTATTTAATTTCTTGTACCAAAAACTAATAAAAACAAGTTTCATGTTTGCTAAGTACTGATGTTATAGTAGGATTACTTTGCATAAATTTTATTGCTCATCAAAATCTCTAACCGTGAATGCTTCTAAAATATGATCACACTGCAATGTATCAAAATACTCTATATTTTAAAGATGAAAGTAGAGATGACTATGTATCAAAATAACATCTCATTAAACACGTATGGTTATCTGCCTCTTTTTAAACAGATATTGTAGTTGTAAAATACTGGAATTATTTCACTGGAGTTAATAGAGAAACAAATTTCTTTGACTTTTCTGCTTCTTTCGCCTTGAGTTGATGTCGAGAATTCAAGTTGCTGCACCATTTTGTTCTTTTTCATCGGTTTTACAATCTATGCATGCAGGAGCACGAGTTTTGGTGTCCATAATAAGAGTTTTTTCTAAGGTGTGCTGCTCTGGAGCCAGGAAATGTCAGAACAGAGGGATTTTGGTACTATAGAAAATTACTAATGGGAAAGAATAATTGCTTCAAGCCAGGTGATACAGTATCTATTGTAAAGGATAAATTCGTCCCACCAATAGAATTTTTTCTTTAAGTGGAGTTTTGCAAATATGCCTTTTAGATTAAAACAAAACTCACTACATTTTCCACAAACTAAATTAGAAATTTTTTAGCATTCCTGTGGAAGATGAAAGTATCTTTTGCAAACACTGCAAAACAACTGAGCTGGATTGGGAAACCATGTTTTATTTTGATAAGATGGTGACGCCTTTGTATAACCAGCATCATCACCTACTACCTGTCTGGACACTAATATCAGTTATCTGGCTTGGGATTGTGTTCAGAACAACCTAACTTCAATGTACGCTGTTTTATTGTTTCAAGCCTTTGTATATACACGCACTCTACGCTGTTTTTATCTCATGTACTCATTTATATTGTTATAATTGTTTAGTGCTTCAACCTGAAGGACGCCACGTCCTTGTACTAGAGTGTATACGGTATAATGATATTTGTTTCTATGAGACGATTATGTAACAAACTAACATTGAATCCTCATTAAACATGTATGCATAAAGCCTCTTTTTAAACAGATATCACATGAGATGCATAAAAAGCCTCTTTTTAAACGGATATCACATGATTTACTTGAGAAACAAATGTCTTTGATTTTCAGCTGCTTCTTTCGAGAATTCAAGTTGCTGCACTTTTTTGTTGCTTTTCCACTCTTCTAGAACCTATAACAAGGGCGTCTATCGGAGCAAATTTCAAGAAGTTTAGGATCAGAGTTTTGCTAAGTAGTACTCTCGGGAGCCAGGAAATATCAGGCATGGGGATTTTACTACCGTAGAAAAAAGAATTATTGGGAAGGAATAATTTGTAACGACCCGACTTGTCGTTTTGAACATTTACACTCCTTCCAACTATTTGAAGTCTTGAATAATTTCATATGACATATTATGGCGTGTGTGAATCGTCGGTTTTGATTTTCAGGTGTGTCGAGATTAGTTCGGAAGAATGAATTTCATGTTGGAAGCTTAAATGAAAAGGGTTGACCGGAGTTTGACTTTTGTGCAAACGACTCAGTAATAGAGTTTTGATGATTCCAATAGCTCTGTATGGTGATTTTGGACTTAAGAGTGTGTCGGAATAAATAGGGAAGTCCGTAGTTGATTTTGGCTTGAAATGGCGAAATTAGGAAATGGAAGGTTTGGAAGTTTTACCAGGAGTTGACTTTATCGATATCGGGGTCGAAATCAGTTCTGAAAAATTTATAGGTCCGTTATGTCATTTATGACTTGTGTGCAAAATTTGAACTCAATCGGAATTGATTTGATAGGTTTCAGCATCGAATGTAGAAGTTGGAATTCATTGGTTTTCCATTAGGTTTGAATTGGGTGCGATTCGTGATTTTAGCGTTGTTTGATGTGATTTGAGACCTCGACTACGTTCGTATTTTAGGACTTGTTGGTGTATTTGGTTGAGGTCCCGGAGGCCTCGGGTGAATTCCGGGATGGTTTTAGATCATTCCTTCAGGTCTTGCTGCTGTTGTTGCTGGTTCTGGTGTTGTTCATCGCGAACGCGTAGGTGTTATCGCGTTCGCGTAGAAGGATGTTGGCTGCAGGATGTTTGTGCTTTACGTTCGCGACTATGGGCACTCGTTCACGTAGGTTTGGGGAGCAAAACTACGCGTTCGCGAAAAGAGAACTTGGCCTGTGAGATTTTAGGTTTCGCATTCGGGGAGGGAGCCCTCCGTTAGCGAAGAAGGAATCAGTGGGCAGAACTTACCATTTTTTATGATTTGGAGCTCGGGGAGAGGCGATTTTCGGGAGATTTTCAAGGAAAATATTAGGGTAAGAGTTCTTAACTCAATTTTGGTTAAATTTCCCGAATCTATTGTTGTTTTCAGCATTTTATTGGTGTTTTAAGTTGGAAAATTTTGAAAACCCCTAAGGTTAAGATTGAGGATTTGAGGACCAAATTGTTGGCGAAATTCGGTAAATTTGGTATGGTTGGACTCGTGGTTGAATGGGTGTTCATATTTTGTAAAACTTTTGAAAACCCCTAAGGTTAAGATTGAGGATTTGAGGACCAAATTATTGTCGAAATTCGGTAAATTTGGTATGGTTGGACTCGTGGTTGAATGGGTGTTCATATTTTGTAACTTTTGTCGGAATCCGAGAGGTGGGCCTCACAGTCAACTTTTCGAGTAGAGTTGAAAATTTTTATAAATTGTTAAATTGTAAGCATCAGAGTATATTTTGATGAATTTGCACGTTGTTTGACTAATTTCGAATCGTTTAGCTTGGAATTAAGGAGATAGGAAGGCGTTCGGAGGTTGATACGCGCAGAATGGAATTTTCGGAGTATTGTTTAGCTTGCTCGACATCGGATTCGGCTTGTTCGAGGTAAGCAACACTTCTAAACTTGGAGCTGAGGGTATGAACCCTGATTATACGTGTTATGTGATTTGTTTGGAGGTGATGCACATGCTAGGTGACGGGCATGTGGGCGTGCACTGTAGAAATTGTGACTCAGTCGATTCCGTAGAGCTGTTTAGTCAATTAACTTGTATTTTCCATATATTTTTCATGTGTTAGAGAAACTGAGCTGTTACTCATGTTAGAAATCATGCTTAGGCAAATGCTGGTATTATTGGGACCCACATAGGTAATTTCTGTTGTCGAATTATATGTTTAAACTGTAATTTCATACTTAGTCATATTCATTCATTGCATATCATATCTCAGTCTCTGTTGTTATTTATTGATATATCATATCATCATTTTGGGCTAGTTTGATGACATAGTTAGCCCGAGAGCCTGGAGATATTGATGACTAAGTAAGGTCGAGGGCTTGATTGTGAGGGTATTATGGGATCGGGCTGCACACCGCAACATATTTTTATTTATTTATGCCTGGACCTGGCCTATTATAGCACTTGGGATGAAGGAGCCCCTCCGGAGTCTGCACCCCCATAGTGAGCACAGTGGATATTATATTTGGGATGGAGTTCCCTGGGCATAGAGTTGCCATTTATATTCACTTTTGGGATGGAATTGCCCTATACATTATATCCGGGATGGAGTTCCCTGGGCATGGAGTTACCCTATACATTATATTTGGGATGGATTTCCCTGGGCATGGAGTTGCCTTATTTCTTTATATTTGGGATAGAGTTCCCTGGACTGGATTGGCCCTGTACAGTACTGAGTGATTGAATGTCAGTTATTATGTATATATATTTGGGATGGATCTTCCCTGGGCTGGATTGATCATATACAGTACTGTGAGATTTAGTACTTTGAGAGTATGAATACACGAGTTCATCACTGTGTTGCATTGCATTAGACATGCATACTTGACATGTAGGCATAGAGAAGTATTTTTCCTCATGCCATCTGATAATGAGATTTCTTATATGTCGTTAATGATTTTGGAAAAAATCACAGATTTCAGACTTACTCATATTTTCAGTGACTTTCGGCAAAAGATTTGAGTTTTACTGCTATATTGAAAAGAAAATATTTATTTTTTAGAATTTGATACGAGCTGAGCATTTTATTATCGAGTTATTACTAGTGCTGCTTTAAATTGTATTATAATTGAGATGTTATTAGTTATTGGAGTTGGACTTTAACCCTTGTCCCAGCTTGTCACTACTTTTAACCTAAGTTTAGGTTTGTTACTTATTGAGTACATGAGGTCAGTTGTACTCATACTATACTTCTGCACCTTGCGTGCAGATTTCTGATGCTGATGTAGCTGCGTATGATGAGAGTTGTATATGATGATGTACCTGCATTCCAGCCATTCCTACCTCTTGTACATGGTAGCTTTAGAATTTTTAATCTGTTCATGTATATTTCAAACATATGACATATTTTTATTTCATACCACCTTTGTAAATTCTAATCTTAGAAGCTCATGATTTGTACTACCAGTCCTTGGGGAGTGTATTAGAGTCAGCTAAATATTAATTGAATTGGATTGTTGTTATTTGGCTTACCTAGCGGGTGAGGTTAGGTGTCATCATGGCTAGTTGGATTTTGGGTCGTGACAAGTTGGTATCAGAGCCTTAGGTTCATAGGTTCTACAAGTCATGAGCAAGTGTCTAGTAGAGTCTTGCAGATCGGTGTGATGACGTCCATACTTATCTTCGAGAGGCTACAGGGCATTTTAGGATAAACTTCCCATCTTTCTTTCCTTATCGTGTCACAGTGATTCGGCTTGAAGCATACCTCTTTGAATTCATTCCACTAAATCATACGCATATGTGAACGATCGGTATCAGTTGTGCATCGGCAGCTTGTAATTCTATGAATGAGGTTCGAGATATGTATTTTGTGTTTTGGTGATGGGCCAGTCTGGAGGACTTGAGGCCAGGTTTAGACCGAAGCTTAGTCTCGGTAGCTTCAGTTGTGTGAACTTGTACATTTGGACTCATATGTCCAGTAGTGACCCTATGAGTGGAATTTGTGGCTCGATGAGCGGTAGAATGACTGAATAATGAGTATGAGGCGACTGCGGGATGTGTTCAGATAGTTTGAATGTGACGAGAAGAGTTTCTCAAGATGTAAAAAGGGCCATTGGGTGCTTGATTTCTGTCTTGATTTGATGCATAGTCTCAAGTTATGAGCGTGTTGTAGAATCTTTCACATTGTTAAATTATGGGACAAATTAAATTCTTATGTCTTGTTAATGAGTTTGGACTCAGGAAGATTAAGTGATCACGTAGTAATTGTGGCTGCGAAAGGGTATAATAAGATGCCAATTTGAGGCTAAGCATATGGGTTATCTCTTGCTGAGTAATCTACGTAGGTGTGTTCCTTATAATGTTGTGCCGGGAGTTTCTTTCTACCAGCGGCGTATATGTGTTGAGATTCG